CATCCACATGAGCGCCAGTTCAAGTCCCGGCTGCTCCACTGCCAATCCAGCCCCCGGTGATGCACCTGGGAAAGCAGTGAAGACGGCTCAAGGCTCGGCCCCCGCCGAGGTGGGAGACCTGGAATCAGTTCCTAGCTCCTGGGTTCAGCCTGGCCCAGTCATGGCCACTGTGTCCAGCTGGGGAGTGAACCAGTGGAGGTAAGATCTCTCTGTCACTCTGCCTTTCAAGTAAATAAACAATATATTTTTTAAATAAAGACGACGCAGCGTGCTGGTGCTGCGGCTCACAGGGCTAAGCTGCCACTAGTGAGGCCGGCGTCCCACAGCGCTGGTTCGAGTCCTGGCTGCTCCACCTCTGATCGAGCTCCCTGCTAACGTGCCCGGGAAGGCAGTGGAAGGTGGCCCGAGTGCCCAGGTCCACTGGATGAAGTTCCAGGCTCTGGCTTCGCCCTGACCCAGCCTGGGCCATCAGGAGTGAGCCATTGGATGCAAGATCTATCCCCCCCCGCCCATTCTGCCTTTCAAACAAGTAAACAAATCTTTCAACAACACACACACACACACAAAGGCACAACGTGCGCGGGAAGCACCTGTGCCGCTGTGAAGCAGCCCGGGAGGCGGGGGCTCCTCACCTCCGGCCAGCGCACGTGCACAGCCCGGGGCAGCTCCCGGGGAGACAGCCCCACGGTGTCACGCTGGCGCGGCACGCGGCCCTCTCGGGCAGGCTGACCCCAGCTCCGGCCTTCCGCTCACCACTCCTCTCCTGCCGGCTTCCTCTTCCTTCCTCAATCCCCGCCCCTCAGACGATGCCTGAGAACCACAGTGACCACAGGCATCTCCGACACTGCGGTGCCGGGCCCTGCCCGTTCCCGGGCGTCAGCCCCCGGGCTGCGAGGGCCTGAGGGACCCCCACGGCACAGACAAGGCCTCGGGGGCCAAGGGACGCTCAGAGCAACAGGCAGAGCTCAGGCAGGCCCAGCCGCCGGGTCTGTGGATCCGCACCCCACTGTCCCTCCCGGCACCGTGCTGCCTGCTCACCGGGACTCCCTGCAGGGGGCAGACTGACTGAGCCTCCGCAGGACACCCGCAGTCTGCCAGGAGGGCTCGGGGCTGAGTCAGGCTGGGAAGGGGGGGCAGGAAGGCAAGCCCGGCAGCAGCCAAGGTCAAGGTCAAGACCGGGAGGAGGTCAGAAAGCCTGGGGTGGGGCGGGGGCAGCTGGTGTGGCGCAGTGCCACCTGCTGTGCTGGCAACCCCCCACTCCCCGCAGCTGGAGCGCCAGCTCAAGTCCCAGCCACTCTACTTCCGACGCAGCTTCTTGCTAATGCCAGGCAAGGCCGTGCATGACGGCCCAGGGCCCCCGGGAGACCCAGGGAGGCCAGATGGAGGTGGGCTCCCAGCTTCAGCCTGCCTAGCCCTGGCTAATGCAGGGGGTGAAGCAGCGATGCACGTTGCTCCAAGCTGCCCTGCCTTTCAAATACGTGAATCTTTAAAACACAAAAACAAAAGCAAAGCCAAAACTGAGAGGCGTACACTGGGGGTGCCCCCGTCAAGGTCACACCAGAGACTGCAGAACTCAACGGCGACGGGCCTGCGGGCTCAGGGCGCTGCCCCGGAACGAGCCACGTGCCTGTGCAGGTGGCCCACGTGGCTGGCGCGGGCAGCTGGGACAGCGGGCCCCGAAGGGGGGCCTCCACTCACCCTGGAACTTGTAGACGACAGGGACGATGCCGACCACCTCCATGTCGAATGTGATCTCGGGCTGCGCCCCGGCCCCCGGCCGCCGCGTCCTCCTCCGCACGCGGAGCAGCAGGCTGCTGGCGCTGAGGCGGTTGGCGCACACCGGGTGGCAGTACGGGTCCTTGGGCCGGAAGTACAGCTCCAGCCTCTTGGTGGGGTCCGTGTAGCTCTGCGGTGAGGCCGAAGGAGACAGAGGGAAGCCGTGAGGGCCGTGCAGCCGGCAGGGAGCGCTCCTCTCTCCGGTGGGGACCCAGGAAGGGCCGGGGAGCCACATCTGGAGGACACGGCAGCCTGGCCCTCACCCGGCGACAGATCAGGGACCCCCTGTCTTCCAGGACACTACAGCTGCCTGGAGCTCGAAGCCTCCCCTGGCGCTGCTGGGGCTGACTCTCCTTCAGCCCAGAGATCACTTCGGAGGCCCCCGAGGCTGGGGCGGGTCTGGGCTGCTACTGCCCGGGGCCACCTGCTCTGGGACCAGCCAGCAGTCCTGGCATCCAGCCTCCTGGCGCTAAGGCCCCAGGAGACTAAGTGATGACCACTTCAATCTTCCCTACAGCTTGCCTGCCCGGCTCCTCCTCCTCACAAACCCTAAGGGGCAGGATTGTTGATGCAGCAGCGAAAGCCGCTGCCTGCAGTGCCCGCATCCCACACGGGAGCTGGTTCGAGTCCCGGCTGCTCCTCTTCCGATCCAGCTCTCTGCTGTGGCCTGGGAAAGCAGTGGAAGATGGCCCAGGTCCTTGGGCCCCTGCACCCACATGGGAGACCCGGAAGAAGCTCCTGGCTCCTGGCTTCAGATCAGCGCAGCTCCAGCCATTGTGGCCATTTGGGGAGTGAACCAGCAGATGGAAGACTTCTCTCTCTCTCTCTCTCTCTCTCTCTGCCTTTTCTTCTCTCTCTGTGTAACTCTTTCAAATAAACAAATAAATCTTTAAAAAAAAAAAAAACCCACACAATTTATTTAAAAACAAACAAAAAACCACAGCAGGTTAAGCCGTCATCTGCAAGCATGCTGTATGGGCACGAGTTCGAGTCCTGGCTGCTCCACTTCTGATCCAGCTCCCTGCTAATGTGCCTGGCAAAGCAGCAGAAGATGGCCCAAGTGCTTGGGCCCCTGCACCCACATGGGAGACAGGGATGGAGTTCTAGACTCCTGCATTTGGCACGGCCCAGCCCCAGCCGTTGTGGCCATTTGGGGAGTGAACCAGTGGACGGAAGCTCTCTCTGTCACTCTGCCTTTCAAATAAATAAATCTTTTAAAAAAAGGCCGGTGCTGCGGCTCAATAGGCTAATCCTCTGCCTGCAGCGCCGGCACACCGGGTTCTAGTCCCGGTCGGGACGCCGGAATCTGTCTCGGTTGTCCCTCTTCCAGGCCAGCTCTCTGCTGTGGCCCGGAGTGCAGTGGAGGATGGTCCAAGTGCTTGGGCCCTGCACCCCATGGGAAACCAGGAGAAGCACCTGGCTCCTGCCTTCGGATGAGCATGGTGCGCCGGCCACGGCGGCCATTAGAGGGTGAACCAACAGTAAAAGGAAGACCTTTCTCTCTGTCTCTCTCTCTCTCTGTACACTCTGCCTGTCAAAAAAAAAAAAAAAAAAAAAAAGGTGCCCGTGTTCGGCATCAATGCATGACTCTCGCTCCCGATGCAGGCCTGGGTTCCTGCACCACGCGGGGCACCGTTGAGGTCCTGGCCACTGCGCATCTGGGGAGTGAACCCGTGGACAGGAGCTCGCTCTTTCAAATAAAGAAATTAAAAAGAGAAAGAAAGAAAAAGAAGGCACCCTAAGAATAGCCCTTACCCTGCAGAACTGCTGGGATTCTTAAATAAAAACACGCGTAAAGCACTCAGCCCGGTGCCTAGCGCGTGGCCGGGACTCAGGAGTCACCTCCAGGCTAAGGGGCGCGTGGCCCGCCCTGCGGGAGGAGACTGTGCGGGAAACAGCAACGCAACCGGACAAGGCGCCTGCGCCCCCACACCCAGGTCCACGCCTGGCCCTGCAGACCGGAGCTGCTCGGGGGAAGAGCCGGAGTCGCACACGGCCGTGGTCCCCAGGAACCCGCTCTGAAACACGCGTCTCTGGGTCCCGGTGGACTGGCTACCGGCCCAGCCGAGGGCCCGGCACAGAGGTGCTCAGGAGACAACGAGGCCCCTGCCGAGGGCTCCCAGCGCGGTGGGCAGGCGACCCCCGGGGCGGGCGGGCGCAGGTGTTCCGCCCAGGCGCCGTCTGGGTCATACTGGAGGGGTCAGACCCCGAGCAAGGGCCCCGGTCTGGCCCCGCCAAGGCAACCGTGGGTGGGACCCGCAACTCCTGAACTGTGAGGATCAAGATGTTTTTCCTGTTTCAGACGCTGGTTTCCCTGGGCTGTGGCCAAGGCTCCGTCACACCCCCCACGAACATTCGGCGAGCCGGGCCGGGCCGGCCCGGGTGCACGGGCCAGAACCCAACCTCGGGCTGGAACCAAAAGGATGAGGAGGGGGCTACCAGCCGCCAAAGCCCACGAGGGGCGCCCGCCCGGCCGGGGACGTGGGTTCCGGACGTGGCCCCCGCGGGGGTCGCCAGCCCCAGGCTCGTGCACCTCCGAGCGTGCAACGCGGGCAAAGCACCCGCAGCCACCAGCGCCAGCGGAGGCCGGCGCGACAGCCCGTGTCCCCAGGGGTCAGCCGCGTCCACTCTCCTCCGCCCCGGCCCTCCGCTCGGGGCGCGGCCGCGGCCGGCGCACGGAAGCCGGACCTGCGGCCCAGGGCTGCGGACGCACGCAGGGCACCCCCGGCCCCGGCCACCAGGGTCCCCGCCAGCCCTCCCGGGACGGGGCCCACCGCCGGCCACCTCGGCGGCGAGCCCCGCCCACTGGCCGCCATGTCCCGTTGCCACGGAAACCGCACCGTCCCCCGGGGCGGCCACGTCGCGGAGAGGCCCCGCTGCTTACTCGAGAGACGCCTTCCTCGCCGCCCAGAGTGGACAGCATCTTGTTCACGTCGCGCACCACGCCGGGGTACTCCACACACACCATGCGCCGCTCGCGTTTCAGCTCCAAAGCGACGGCGGCCCCCGGCCGCGCGTCCGTCGGCCCCGCCGCCATCCCTGCCGGTCGCGCCGAGCCCGCCGCGGTCCGTTCCTCAAAGAGCTCCCCCGACGCTTTGTCTCAAAGGTTCCGCGGAGACATCGTTCCGGGCTCCATCAGCGGTTCTGCGTCCCTACACCTTGAGGTTCAGCGAGACGCGGAGGCCTCCGTGAGTAAACGACTGCCTCGGTCTCGACTCTGTTTAAAATGGAGAGTTGACCCGGGGGACCGGGCAAGGCGTTCTCTCTCCCATCAGCCAGCGAGGGACGCTGAGGACTGTAAGTCAACACCAACTTTAGCCAATGAGGATCCGAGGACGAACAGAGATTTTTTTTTTTTTTAGCCAATGAAAATGCAGGAAGAGCCATGTCCCGCCCCCTCCTCCAACCTCATAGGTTTTAACCGATGCAGAATCAGGATTCTGCCGGGCCCGCCTTCTTCCGGGAATTCCACCCAATGATGATTGGGGGCGCGCCTGAAGCAGACTTCCGGTTTGCTTCCTTCCGGGGAGACGGTTCCTCAGAGAATGGTTTCCGGCGTCCCACTCCTCCTAGCGGTTTCCTGCGGGCTGGGGCGCGAGCGAGTCGTGCACCACACGCCCGCTCCAGGCTGTGAGTCTGTCCTCCGCCGGGCAGGTGTGGGGCCACCCGGGACAAGCCGATCCCTTGAGGGTGGGCGCCCCGAGGTTCCGACATGGCTTCCGGATAAAAGAGCGACTTGATGGTTCTGGGTGGATTTCTTTATTAAGGTCGTCCATCCGCTGGTCCACTCCCCAAATGGCCACAACGGCTGGGCTGCGCCAGGCCAAGGCCAGGGTCTCCCACGCGGGTGCGGGTTCCCACACTCGGGCCGCAGCAGGAGCTGGATGGGAAGTGGAGCAGCCGGGTCTCGAACCGGCGCCCACGCGGGAGGCCGGCGCCGCAGGTGCGCTGGCTTCCATCGACGGACGTTCCCGTCCAGCCCCTCTCGCCATCGCGGGCTGACCAGGTGACCTGGCTACCTGAGAACGCGGCCGGGCAGCCCTGGCCGCCCTCGGCTGTCGGCAGGAGCAGGCCGGCCCCGGTCCCCGCTCGCCTGGTCAACGCGGGAGCCGCGCCTCTCCCACGCCGCGGTCCTTCTGCTCCCAGAGGCCAGGTCTCTCCTTCCGGCCAGGTACCTGCCTCTCACCAGAGCGGCCGATGCCGGGGCCATCGGGCTGCGCGTGGGCTCGCGTGGGCGGGGGCTCGCGCGGAAGCGGCCCTGCTGGGCCCCGGGGCGGCCGATGCTGGGGCCTCCTGGGGCTGCGCGTGGGCTCGCGTGGGCGGGGGCTCGCGCGGAAGCTGCCCTGCTGGGCCCCCGGGGCGGCGGATGCTGGGGCCTCCTGGGGCTGCGCGTGGGCTCGCGTGGGCGGGGGCTCGCGTGGAAGCTGCCCTGCTGGGCCCCGGGGCGGCCGATGCCGGGGCCATCGGGGTGCGCGTGGGCTCGCGTGGGCAGGGGCTCGCGCGGAAGCTGCCCTGCTGGGCCCCGGGGCGGCCGATGCCGGGGCCATCGGGGTGCGCGTGGGCTCGCGTGGGCAGGGGCTCGCGCGGAAGCTGCCCTGCTGGGCCCCGGGGCGGCGGATGCTGGGGCCTCCTGGGGCTGCGCGTGGGCTCGCGTGGGCGGGGGCTCGCGCCGAAGCGGCCCTGCTGGGCCCTGGGCCGGGACCAGGGAATACCAGGTGAATAAATGAATGCTCTGACCTCTCCTCCTGGAGCCGGCTCCACCCGCTCTGTCTGGACGGTCCCCGGCCGGGCTCCCGCAGGTCCGGGCTCCCTCGGCAGAGCCTCCCGGCTCTGGGACTGGACGTGACCCTGGCTCATGTCCTCGTGCCTGTGGGCGTCCATCGTCCGGGTGTCGCCAGCCGCACTCGGCGTCTGCTGCAGCCGTGTCTGACCTCAGGGCCGGGTTCCCGAGGGGCGGTGGGGGCTCCTCCGCCTGCCATGGGCTGGTGAGTGTCCTCCCGTGAGGACACCGGGCGGGCAGGTGACCTGTGGCTGACCGTGGCCTCCCCCGACAGCGTCGGAGCAAGGGTCCCCACCCGGCCCACCTTTGAGAATGGTGAGGTCCTCGGCCCCTCCCCGGGCGAGCCCTGCCCAGGCAGAAGGAGCTGTTTCCTGTGAGCAGGCTGGGGGCTGGGTGCGAGGGCAGGGGCAGGGGCTGCCGCTGCAGGAGCCTGAGGAGTGGGCTGGGCGCCGGGCCAGCTCCAAAGCCCGAGGCCCTGACCCTCCCGCACCTCTGTGATCCCGGCCCCCCCCCCAGTGCTGCTGGAGGCCCCCTCTCCGCTCTCTCTCGCCCAGGTGGGCCCTGCTCTGGGAACCACTTCTGGGTGGAGCCGTTCGGGGTCGCTGCCCCGCCCAGCTGTGCTGCTCTGGCCGGGCCCAGGCCGGCAGGGAGTGAGCAGGCTCCCGCGGGCAGGCGGGCCTAACGCTGGGGGGCGGGGCCGGGCAGGGGGCGGGGCCGGGCAGGCATGGGTGGGCATAGGGTGAGGCCGGGCAGAGAGGGCGGAGCCCGCAGGCATGGGTAGGGCATAGGGGCGGGGCCTGGTAAGCATGGGTGGGGCCAGAGGGGGCAGGGCTGCGGGCGTGGGCGGGGCACAGGGCGGGGCCGGCAGGCGTGTGTGGGCAGAGGGCGGGGCCAGGCAGAGGGGCGGGGCCGGGCTGCTTGGGGCCCAGTACCGGGGTCACCTCCACTGCCCTCTATGACACGGGGCCCCCGGCCCTGGGCACTGCAGCCGCCATCAGAGAAAGGAGTAACGTTCCACCGCAGTCCCGGAGACGCCCGGGCTCCACCTGGGGCTGCTTCGCGAGCGACCCGTGGGCTCGGAGCAGGGGACAGTGACCGCGCCTGCCCGCGAGGCGGTCAGGACTCGGAAGAGCCGCCCCCTGCAGGCCCCCGCAGCACCGACAGCTGCACCAGCCCCCCTGTGGCGCCTGCGGCCCCGGTGCGGGGGGGGGGGGGGCTCCGTTCTGGCGGGAGGACCCAGCTCCTGTGCAGCTCGTCATTGTGCGACAGCACCCGTCCTCGTGTGAAACCTCAGGAGTGAGGACGCCTGTTGAGTGATGGACGGAGAACGGCGGTGTTAACCTGGGGCGAGGGTGGTGACACACACGGCCCGGGGGCAGAGCAGAGGCTCTGGGGGCCCAGCAGGAGAGTGGGCGTCCCTCCGGCTTTGTGGCACGCGGGGTGTGTGTGTGCGCGTGTGTACATGTGTACGGGTGTGGGTGCAGGTGTCCCAAGTGGCCGCTTGTCCACAGCACCGCAGCGCCCGCCCAGTACCTGAGCTTTTTGGTTGCAGTACGATGCACAGATCTGATTGATGCATTGTCTCCGTCAGCTTCCTGCTGCCCCCTGCACTGGGTCCCACGGGGTTCTGGAGGTCCCAGATCCAGGGGCCACATCTGGCAGGGACGCCAGGCCCGTGGGAACTCTGCGGCGCAAGCCTGGCCTGCACGAGTGACCTCTGAGAGCACCCACGGAGGACGAGCCCATCCCCGGGCACTGTGCTCAGGAGCGCCCCCAACACACATGCCTGTAAGCCCAGCACTGTCGCTGTCCCCGCACAGCCAGCTGCCACCACCAAGAACTGAAGCAGGACCCGGGCCCACAGAAACCCACCTCCAGGGTAGAGCCAGCACCTAGTGCCACATCCCATATGGCCGCCGGTTCAAGTCCCAGCTGCTGCACCTCCAATCCAGCTCTCTACGGTGGCCTGGGAAAGCAGTGGAGGGTGGCTCAAGTCCTTGGGCCCCTGCACCCACGTGGGAGACCTGGAAGAAGCTCCTGGCTCCTGGCTTCAGATCGGCCCAGGTCCAGCCATTGTGTCCACTGGGTAGTGAACCAGTGGATGGAAGACTCTCTTTCTCTCTCTCTCTTTGCCTCTCTCTAACTCTTTCAGATAAATAAATGAATCTTTAAAAAAGAAAGAAGGCTGGCGCCGCAGCTCACTAGGCTAATCCTTCGCCTTGCGGCACCGGCACACCAGGTTCTAGTCCCGGTTGGGGTGCCGGATTCTGTCCCGGTTGCCCCTCTTCCAGGCCAGCTCTCTGCTGTGGCCCGGGAGTGCAGTGGAGGATGGCCCAGGTGCTTGGGCCCTGCACCCCATGGGAGACCAGGAGAAGCATCTGGCTCCTGCCATCGGATCAGCGCGATGCGCCGGCCGCGGCGGCCATTGGAGGGTGAACCAACGGCAAAAGGAAGACCTTTCTCTCTGTCTCTCTCACTGTTCACTCTGCCTGTCAAAAATAAAGAAAAAAAAAAAAAAAAAAGACGCAGCCTCCAGCAAGTACAAGCTGAAGATGGTGTCCTGGAGCTGCAGGGGGGGCTGGGGAGGGGCTGTGGCTGCAGCAGCTGCACTGCCCCCCCCCCTCCGCTCCACTCCTGCTCTGGCCTCCACCTCGGGCCTCCCTCCCCCTGTGCCTTCCAGCTCCTTCCCGGAGCTCACCCCATGCCTCCTGGCAAGTCTCTGCTGCTCCCGCCTGCAGGGGGCGCTGGGGGAACTCCACGCACCGGGCTCAACCTGCAGCCCCTCTGCCCAGCGTGACCCCCTCAGCGGCAGCACCCGCTGCACCCCCTCATGAGGCCACCCGCCACGCCATTTGCCCAGTACGGCAGAGGTGCCTCCCTGATCACAGACGCACCCTGGCCCTGTGGGGGCCGCTGACCGAGGGCACCACCCCTCCCATGGGTCCTTGTTTCTGACCTGTCCGGGGCAGGGAGGACTTCAGGCAGGTGTCCCTGGGTCAGAGTGACGTGGTATTCAGTTACAAGTCGCTCGTTTCTCCCCTCTGCGATGGGGTGGGTCACAGGGGTCTCAGAGGTCCCTGGGTGCTCCCCAGAGCTGCCAGCCGGTTCACCTTCAGGGGTGACCCCCACCCACCTAAAACTGAGGTACCACCCTGCCCCGACACCACAAATCTGACCCCTCCCCGCTCTGCCTTGGGCCTGCTGTGGCTCCTCACTGCCCTGGGGTGCAAAAATCATCCCTTTAACAGAGACTCGGGGGTCCTGTTCCCACCCCACCTCCCGGCCACGCCTACCTTCCCCCTTCCCCCAGATTCCTGATCCTGCGGTACCAGGGCCCCCCAGGACCTCCGTGCCCTCACCCCGGCTGTTCCCTTGCGGCTCAACATAACCCCGGCTGCGTCCACTTTGAAGAGACCTCACCCCGCAGTGCACCTGCTGCCCCATCCCCCAGCCCAACAGATGGGGACCGGTTCTCTCTGGCCCTGGCCTTCCAGGCACAGACCCAGCCCAACCAGGGCGGGACACAGACACCAGGGGGCGATGGGGAGCCATTGCAGCCGCGGGCTGCAGGTGAGGCCTGGGGAAGACAGATCAAATAATTAAATAACTCAGGAGCCTGGGCCAGGGCCACCACCCATCTGCCGTTGGGTGGGGAAATGGGGAGGGGAGGGCAAGGCGGGAGGCTGGTGCTGTCCCGGCTGCTGCCCCAGCTCCAGGCTGGTCTCTCCTGACCCAGCTGCCAACTTGCTGTCCAACTCGGCGGCCCGGGGAGGAAGGCGGGCCGCCACGGCACCAAACCTGGGGTTCTTTTCTTTCTAAAGATTTATTTATTTGAAAGGCAGAGTGACAGAGAGAGAGAGAGGAATACCTTCCACCCACTGGTTCACTCCCCAGAAGGCTGCAATGGACGGGGCTGGGCCAGGCTGAAGTCAGGAGCCAGGAGCTTCATCCAAGTCCCGCCATGGGTGCAGAGGCCCAAACACTTGGCAGGGAGCTGGATCGGAAGTGGAGCAGCCGGGACTTGAACTGGCGCTCCCATATGGGAAGCCGGTGTTGCAAACGGCAGCTTTGGCTGCTGTTCAGAGTGGCAGCGCTCAGTGTGGGTGGACGTGGGAGGTCAGATTGGGGCTCGTTGCCCCAGGGTGGGCTCTGTGCTGGGATCCGGGGCGTCCTCTTGCTGACAGCCCAGGAGCTGGGTAACCAGGTGCACAGTCCACCCCATCTCAGGAGCACTGAGCTGCAGTTTGTGGTGCCGGGCAATGGAGCAGGAGCGCCCAGCTGTGTCACAGACCCTCGCCCCCAGGAGTAGCTGGCCCACTCATCCATGAGTCATGGCAGAGTGCGGGGAAGCAGAGAGAGACCCTGCCGGCGGCCCGGGGGCAGGCACAGCCAGACTGGAAGAGATGGGAGAAGGACGCTGGGATTCTGGGGCTCCTGCTGTGTGGGTGCCCGGTAAACAGCCCTGGGGAGACTGCCCTGCAGCTCTCCCACGGCCCTGCAGGTGGCGCCCTGACCTCCTCGTCCTGAGTGCGGCAGCGGGTTGCCAGGGGTGCAGGACTACTTGGGACCAGGCTCCAGCCCTCCGGCCTTGATTCAGCAACGACCAGTGTTAGACGTGGGTAACAGAACTGCCATCTCAGCCATTCCCAGTGCACAGCTTAGCGGCATTAGCCACGCGCGTGCCGTTGGGCGGCCCTCTCTGCCGCCTGTGGCTGGGCCGTTTTCCGCTGGCAGAGCCGGGCATCTGTCCCCACCAGACACTAACCCCTCTCAGCCCCAGCCACCCCCCTCTGCCTTCTGTCCCTGTGCATCTGACAACTCCAGAAGCACAGGGCACTCGTCGTGTTGTCACTGGAAGCAGGGGGTTAAAAATTTATTTATTTACTTGAAAGGCAGAATCACAGAGAGGCAGAGAGAGAGAGAGAGAATGAGACAGAGAGAGAGAGAGAGAGAGAGGTCTTCCATCTGCTGGTTCACTCCTCATATGGCTGCAACAGCTGGAGCTGCGCCAATCCGAAGCCAGGAGCTTCTTCCGGGTCTCCCATGTGGGTGCAGGGGCTCAAGCACTTTGGCCACCTTCCACTGCTTTCCCAGGCCATCAGCAGGGAGCTGGATTGGAGGTGGAGCAGCCAGGACTTGAACCAGTGGCCATATGGGATGCCGGCAGTGCAGGCAGTGGCTTTACCCGCCGGGTCGCAGCACCGGCCCCACCTGCACCCCTGACCTTGGTGAGCCCTGCAGCTCTGAGGCACCGGCTCTTTCCTTGGCGAATCACATGCCAACAAGCAGCTTTTATTTTGTGGAATTCTGGAGTGAAAGGGACAGGACACCTTCTTGTGATCAGATCTCTTCCCTTGGCAGCTTGGGAAATGGAGGCCCAGAGGCCGAAGGGGACTTCCTCAAAGTCACGGCCAAGGTCAGAGGAGCGCTGAGTCTGCCAGAGAGTCCTGGGAGCCCCAGCCGGCCTGTGCCGGGTGCTCATGGACTCTGCTGCCCGCTCCATGCCAGCCACCCCGGGCGTTCTGGGAGCGGCCCCCAAGAAGCTTGCCCAGGCAGAGCAGGAGTCTCCAGAATGTGGGGCGTTGGGGGCTTCGTCTCGTGCTCCGCAGTTCCCGCCGAGACGCCGGTCCCCAAGCCTGGGGCAGAGAGCAGAGACCGGGCGGCTCCTGCCCGCTGTGGTGTCTTTCCCCCAG